GGGGGGGGGGGGGGGGGGGGGGGGCAAGAACTTCAAAGAAATCTCCCTTACATTGTTACAAACAAGTGAACTGTGGAGCTCATTTTGTACTGAGAAACAGCAACACATCTCTTGCTCTCTTTCGAATTAAAAATCGATATCAAATATTATATGTGAGTCATTATCGATATCCCATCGATCTAGAGATCTAAATATCTAGTACTCTTGGCATAGGCCCGGATTGGGGCCAAAACCGGAGAATGCTGAAATGGCACTGTCATTTCATTGTGACATGATGAGCAATCATCATCAGGGACAACATAGAATGAAATAAAATAGGCCTAGAGACATTATATAAAGCTAGACATCTAGATCTAGACCTAGAATCTAGATCTAGATCTAACAGTTCATACCACCAACAAAACTTGCTGAAAAAAACAACCCCCCACATGAAAAAAAAACAACATAAATAGACAAAGGCTATTGTTAGGGGACCATACGCTAGGAGACCAAACGCCCCCATAGTGTTTGGCGCTAGGGGACCGTACGCCCTACCTGCGCTAAGACTTGGTGTTACGAGACCGTACGCAGATGTGCATGCATCTGGACTTTGCAAAAATACTGGAGGAAAATGGCCAGTTTAACGAAGCTCCTGACGTAAAGAGTTATTACTAGGAGAATGTTTAAAATGTCTGAATACGATTGTGAGGTATCCAGTGGCCATGGGTGAACCAAAATTTGAAATTTGTTCACGTCTGCACCCACGTTGTTGTTATGTGTCAATAAAAGAAATCAAAGAGAGGGAGGGAGAGGGAGAGGGAGAGGGAGAGGGAGAGGGAGAGGGAGAGGGAGAGGGAGAGGGAGAGGGAGAGAGAGAGAGAGAGAGAGAGAGAGTTGGCGAAGGGAATGTGGGGGGCGAACGATGGGGTCGGCAGGGTATACTATGCTATTAGATTGAGAAGACATCATTGATCATGTAACACCTTGCGTGGAATATGAGTTAAGAATATAAATTAAATATAGTATACCAACTTACGCCTATAGTGCGGTCAAAATGCACGGCGCAACTTATTGTGAAATATCTCCTTACCTATAGAACATAAATTCACCAACTTTTGCACAGTGACTTATATCACTTTGTCTTAACAGGTGAATATTTTTACAAACTTCTGCACACTGTATTCTAGAAAATTCCTTAATAAATACTAATTAAAAAACCCAGTCAACTGTTTCTACAAATTTTAAAAATTGTACAGCTCCAGCAATATCACTTTTAAAAGCAAGTCTGTCATTTTTTTTTCCAATCGCAATAGCATGCATGCTTATTGAACGTATCTTTAGGAAACCTTTAGAGTAAAAAGAATGTGTTCATTATATAAACATTTTTGTATGAAGTTTTGCTACTAAAAAGTGTCATTGGCCAGCTATGACGTAGGCCATATATATTATGTATGCAAAATGTGTGCGAGAAGCGGGAAGTGCAATGAACAATCACATTTTTCGCGGGATGGAGATTTATAGGCCTAGTATTTTATATAAATTTATGAAGAAATATTTTTTGATCGAGCCTTAATTGTTGTGGAAAAATATGATTCAGTTAAGACATTTTTTTAAATACAAACTGCTGTGCAAAGTATGGGTGACATTGATTCTCCCGTTAAAGAGATACAGTCCATGCCGGCTTTAAGCACGGTCGTCGGGAGAAAGCTTTTAAAGCGTGCTTAAAGCCGAAGTATGCTTGAGTGCGAAGTAGACACATAATCCAGAGATTTTCATATATGTAGAAAATTTCTCGTGCTATTTCCCTTTGTTTGTAAGTAGGCCTATAGCGGTCCTGCAATAGTGTGCACTGTTATTTAGACACCCGCCAATTGTAGTTTTTGTTCGCTTGTTTGTTTTTGTTTTGTGGTCGAATGGGAAATGAAAACCTAATTTAGACGGCCAGTCATGATACAGTACACTAGGCCTACACACTGCCTGTGCATACCACAACCCGCTGTGCCACTCATACCACCGCCGCCTTCATCCCACCCCGCGCGTGATACACAATCAGGATTAATGGATAGCTAGGGTCAAAGGTGAAATCGCAGCCAGCCTCCCTTTCTCGTCTCCCCGACTCTCTTTGTATTTTTTTTTGGTCGTGTGTAGCTTTGCCCTAGGCTAGATCCTATGTCCGCGTGCGCAACTGTGTGCATCTCTCTGCCTTCCTCTCCGCCCGTGTGAGTGTGTGTGTCCATCACTTGCGTTCTTTGTGTTTCTCTTAACACACTCCACTGCTGTGGTGTAGACTGTGTTCGAACTTCGTTGGGTCATCATGAAAATATTGACTGTCTTGTAAATGAAGCGTGCTTGAAGCCGAAGTTACCGTGCAAAGGCAGGCGTGTAATTTATATAGCAAAAATTCGGTAAGAGCCGTTTAGCGTGCTTGAGTCCGAAACGTGCTTTAAGCCAGCGTGCTTTTAAAGCCGGCACGGACTGTATTAGAGGAAAAGTTGCGCCACAAATTTTTGACCGCTCTATAGTTACACGACACCTGCGCCCAAAAGTAGTCCAGTTAAATACTAATGTTGTTTTATTATTTAATGTGGACAGGCCTTATTGTTTTCAAATCCCTTTAGCTTTAGCTGCGAGCATTTCGTTCTTGGCAGCGCAATGACTCCCGCCCCCCCATCTCTCTCTCTTTCTCTCTGCTCTCTCTGTTTCTAACACACACACACACACATACACACACTTTGTCTCCCTCTCTCTCCCCCACTCTTTCTTACTTCCTTACTAAACTTTCTTTCTTTCTTTCTCACCTTCCTTTCTGTGTGTTTTTCACACTGACACACACAAACACACACACGCACACATACACACTCTCTCTTTTCTCTCTCCCTCTATCTATCTATCTCTCTCTCCCTCCCTCTCTTTGATTTCTTTTATTGACACATACCAACAACATGGGTGCAGACATTCAATGAGCTAATTTCAAATTTTGGTTCACCCACGGCCACTGGATACCTCACAATCGTATTCAGATATTTACATTCTCCTAGTAGTCCTAGTAATAACTCCTTACGTCAGGAGCTTCGTTAAACTGGCCGTTTTCCTCCAGTATTTTTGCAAAGTCCAGATGCATGCATATCTGCATACGGTCTCGTAACACCACGCCTTAGCGCAGGTAGGGCGTACGGTCCCCTAGCGCCAAACACTATGGGGGCGTACGGTCCCCTTGCGCCAAGCGCTATTGGGGCTTACGGCACGGTCCCCTAACAATACTAACATCAGCATAGACAAATAGACCACACCTAGATCTATACTCTTGACCTTATGCCCCGTCAGACTAGAGGCTAAATAGACGCTAGAAGAGACGCAGAAGAACTGGAAGTGGAAGATGGGCCTGGTCTAGATCTAGTTTGTTGTTGATGCAAGATTGCAGACTTCCTAAAGTTCTTGAGAAGCCTCAAGATTTAGGACAATTTTTTAGGATGACCAGCCAGTGCCAGTGCCAGTTTCGTTGATGGACGTTGATTTCTTTCTTTTTTTAAAAATTAAGGACAGACGAAACAGAAATAAATGCAAAATAATTACCACAAATAAAAGCCTTCCTCGCAATAGTTTCAATAACGATTAGCCTACCATAAAGCGATATAAATCCTTTTCCTCCATCAAAATTCCTCGATTTATCATTCTATCTGCCATGAATTTACAGCGTAATAGTAAAGGTAAAGAATAAAGGAAACAACCCGGAAGTCGTACGATAATATCAGAGACTCTAAAATATAGAGACAGGAAACGAGGTCTCGCGGTCCGTGACAACAGTGCATTTGCGAACGTGACCGCTCACACAGAAGCTGATTGGCTGTGGGTAAGCTAGTGGTGCTCTGATTGGCTGTGGTAGGCCAGTGGTGAATATTGTGTAGTATCTTAGTATCTTTGGGTCCTCCCCTATGATTCCAGTTTTAGCGGTTCGGAAACTTCTGAAACAGTGCTATAAATATATGAAGCCTAATCTACCTATTCCAGTAAGGAACTGTGGTGGCCGAATGGACAGCGTGACTGCGTGCGGAGTGAACGGGCGTGGGATCGAAATCTGGAAAATACTCTTTTTTTTTTTTTTTTTTGCCTCCTTTCTTCTCCTCCTCCCGACTGACCCCTCCTTTCTTCTCCTCCTCCCAACTGACCAACAATTTTTCCCCATAATTATAATTCGTTGTTTTGTAGTTTTTTAGGTAGTGATTAAGCACGCACATTCTGGTGTTGCCTTATGGAGGAGCTTTTACCTCTTTTCGATCATCGCTTCATCTAGTAATTCATCAGATAAGTGATAGTAATCTGAAGATGAGTTGAATCTCTCTCTCTCTCTCTCTCTCTCTCTCTCTCTCTCTCTCTCTCTCTCTCTCTCTCTCTCTCTCTCTCTCTCTCTATCTCTATTTCTCTCTCTCTCTCTCTCTCACTCTCTCTCACTCTCTGTCTCAATCTCTCTCTCTCAATTTTTCTCTCTTTCTCTCTCTCTCTCCCTCCCTCTCTCCCTCTCTCTCTCTCTCTCTCTCTCTCTCTCTCTCTCTCTCTCTCTCTCTCTCTCTCTCTCTCTCTCTCTCTCTCTCTCTCTCTCTCTCTCTCTCTCTCTCTCTCTCTCTCTCTCTCTCACCCCCCCCTCTCTCTCTTTCTTTCTTTCTCACTGCCCACAGACAAAATTGCACGCTTTCAACACAAAAGAGCGCTGGAACATTTGTTCAAGGCCGAGGACCTCCTTGTTCAAGGCACAGAGTTCTACACTTCTGTTATCACAGTGTAGAATTCTGTGGTTTACGGTGAATGCTACACAGGTTGCCCTAAGCTAGCACAGTGAACGCACACAGAGTGAGAATAGCCAAAAGGCTCACCGGTGGCCTAATAAAATAGCCCTCGTAGTCT